TATTTTGTTTTATATTTTTCCTTACATTTTGAGGACGTCTTGTGTTGCCGACTCGAAATGAGAAGTGGCATCGAAGGACTTGGAGACGAAAATTTTGCTTTCTTTTCCGGTGTCTGTACACTCCAGCATGTCGCTCACCGAAACAAACTTCTCCTCTATTGTACCCAGCAACTTCAGGGCTGGCTCCAGCTCTGCAGCAACAGCAGCAACAGCAGCAGCAGCAGCAGCAACAGCAGCAGCAGCAGCAGCAGAAGCAGCAACAGCAGCAGCAGCAACAGCAGCAGAAACAGCAGCAGAAGAAACAGCAGCAGCAGAAACAACAGCAGCACGCTTACAGTGCACATAATGAGAGAACAGAGTACAAACCCTAAACCCTAAACCCTAGTTTTATAAACCCTACCCTCTAAACCCTAAAACCCTCCCCAACCCTCTAAACCCCAAACCCCAAACCCTAAACCCTCACCCCCCCATATATATAAACATAAATATAAATATAAATATAAATATAAATATAAATATAAATATAAATATAAATATAAATATAAATATAATATAAATATAAATATAAATATAAATATAAATATAAATATAAATATAAATATAAATATAAATATAAATACAGAATATAAATAAATAAATATAAATATAAATAAATATAAATATAAATACCTTTCTCAGGGTCATCAGTTTCTACAGTGGTGCTGACAATAGCGATGGTTAATAAATATAAACACAAATATAAACACAAATACAAATATAAATAAATAAATATAAATATAAATATAAATAAATAAATAAATATAAATACCTTTCTCAGGGTCATCAGTTTCTACAGTGGTGCTGACAATGGCGATGGTTTTCCCCTTAAGACAGATACCATGTGTGCTAGAAACCACCATAATATAAATATCATTATTTCTATTGAGCTGTCTTTGTGGTATTATAATCTGGCAGCTGCTGCTGCTGTTGGTGTGGGGAACTGCAGCACCGAGGATGCATATACACCTGATTACCCTGCCTATACACCGCAAACGAGATGGAAACTGATCCTTTATGTATGATGGGTCGCATACCACCATCTTACACCGAGCCACCTAACAACACACACACACACACATATATACACACACAGCTGCATGCATGCATGCATGCATGCATGCATGCAGAAACACATGCATGCATGCATGCATGCATGCAGAAACGCATGCATGCATGCATGCATGCATGTCTGCTGTCTGCATCCCCAAAAGGAAAAGCCAAATATTACAGAACCCCTAAAAGTTCAAGAAAGCACAAACCAACAAACGCAACCCCTAAACCCTAAACCCTAAACCCTAAACCCTCGGGATAATAATACCTGTCCATCTGTGGTTTTGACGCCGGTGACCTTGCCTGAATCATCTAATACAAAGGAGGAGACGGGGGCCCCCAGCATGTAGGTCCCCCCATTGACGGCACAAAGCCTACTAAACCCTTCCGGGAGGCCCCCTAACCCATACACTGGATATATAAAGGGAGAACGACCGTAACGAGAAACAGAATACATATATAGCTTTATGCGCTCCATTGTTTCACGCATTGGGTGCGATAGATAGCTGCATACATATATACATACATACATACACAGAAAGAAATGTTTATAAATATATATATATATATTTTTTTTTTTTTTTTTTTT